CATCGATTTTCGTATTTACCTGATTTAAAAGTTGAACGTTGCGATTCTTATTCAGGCCATTTAAATATTGTACATTGCGATTCTTATTTACGAGATTTAAAAAACCAATATCGCGATTTGTATTTACGAGCTTTTAAAACCCTATGTAGCTACGCGAGCTTAAAATCCAATATCGTGATTCGTTTTTGCCGTTGTAATATCTCGCGATTTTAAAATTATGCATCTTGATCTAAAAATTACGCATCATGATTTGTATGTTCGCATTTTTTAAATTCGATGTAGAGTTTCATATTCACGTGATTTAAAAGCCTCATATCGGGATTTATAATCACATGGTTTACAAGTTTAAAAATCGCACTTTTTTTGTCAAATTTTTGTTTATATATATATATTCTTGGATTTCCTCTTTTTTACTTTCTGACTACTCTCATCCCTGTATATATATCATATATATGCACACACAGATACTCCATATTCATTCATAAAAAAACATATCTCATTGCCATAACACATTAGATGATGAGCAGTAATTAAAGACTTAAAAACCATGACACAGGAAGTTTGTTGTGTCCTCTAAATAAGGAAATTGCACAGCTCTGGCACTGATACATTTGGTTCATTAGTACAATGAATCAAATCTGTAATATAATATACATTTAAATAAATATATAATAGCACTAAATTTGGTAGGAAAATAAAATTGCAATACATGTATGTATAAAACTGTACATGAAAATGAAAGGAAGGCATTGCAACAACTGATGAAGTGTTGAAAAGTCTGTAGCAGGCATCACAATCAATAAAATTCATTGAAACATTGTGACATAAGAAGATGTAAAAATTAATTTAATCAATTTCTTAGAAAATTAAAATAACTGTAATCTTTTCCGTAAGAAAGTACAGTAAATCTTTATTTTATAATTAGTGTAAAGAACTGTTATAATATCATGGGTCTGTCTAGGTTTTTCTGAAAGGTACCTATTTTGTGAAAATTTTATGGTAAAAATATAGATTTATCGTTTCTTAAGGGATACAAAAATAAAATTTTAAGAAAAAGTATTTTGTGAAACTACCGTTTTTCCAAAGTTGAATTTGTGAAACTACCGTTTTACCTAAAATTGAATTTGTGAAGGTACCGCTAAACGGTAGTAAATTCGGCCTGGACAGATCCCTGTCTTTCTTTACTCTGTTTTTTTAAATTTAAAATATATAAATATGAAGATGCAGAGTATACTATCATTTCAATTAATGTTATCATAATGCTTTTTTTGATATTTATTGTTGTGTTTTTGTCAGAGAAAATAGTAACTTCGTTAAGTCTTGAAAAATTCTTGAAAAGTCATGAATTTGATGTAGCAGATACCCTGTATATATATCTTTACAAAATATAGTTTGAAAAAATTGAAATTATAAGAAGAGGAATCTAAACTTATGACTAAAAAATAAAAAAAATCCTTTTTAGCAGCTCTAGTTATTATTACAGCATTGTTGCTCCGTTTTAGTTTTTTTTTTAAATAGATACATAAGAAAGAATGGTTTTTAAAGCATCTTAATTTTAAAAGAAACAATCCTTCATTCAGGGGCTCTTTTAACCATCAAGACCTAGGGATATTGCCCCGATATATAAGTTTTCTTTTGAGCCAAAAACTTTTTGTTCCAAAATCTTAAAGCTACCTAATCTTTTCTGTGTCACTAAACAATTAATTTATTTCAGAAGTTACGTATTTGGATGTAAAGGATTAGATGGTGCACTTTTAGGTAGTGAAGAACTCTCTCGATTTTTCCCTAACTATAAAATCGCTGTTTTTGTTGGAACGTGGAATATGAATGGTCAAGTAAGTATATTTCCATTGATATTTTCTGTATGTCACATGTTTTGATGAATCCATTAATACATTTTGTATACTTGTCTGAATTAAATCAAATAATCTGAATTAAAATAACAAAATCCCGGCGACATTGTCATTGAACATTACAGAGTTCATGCAGAAAGATTTTTTTTTTTTGCAAAGTAAAAAAAAATGTATTTTTCTTTACTAAAAAAATTTATACATAATATTTGAATCGTGCATTTAGATAATCACCAGGGGTCTGTCCAGGTCGAATTTACTACCGTTTAGCGGTACCTTCACAAATTCAANAAAAAATTTATACATAATATTTGAATCGTGCATTTAGATAATCACTTTTTGAAGCACTCAATTTACGCCTTTAGTATTGTAAATCGATGTAATGTTTCAATTATATTTTTGACAGTTATTGGCATTGATTTTTACCTGGATTTTAAATATCCCGATATATTTAAAACAATATGGAAAATTCGAATCGTACATTGGAGTATTTACTTTTTAATGCAATAATTCTATCGAATTTTCGACAGTTTTGCTATTGATTTCTCCATGGTTTTTAAATCCAATATTTTTATACAATATTATCTATTACAAAAACCTAATCTTGAAATGAAACACGCATTTGAGGAGACCGATTCACGTGATTTCCTCATTGATCTTTTTTTCGGCAATTGTGATGATTATTTACAAAATGCAAAGAAGGAAATAATTTGTGCATTCGCCCACCCCCAACAAAATGCGAGAATAGAATATCACCCATAATATTAGAATAAAAAATATGTATACATAATTCTTTTGTAAACACAGTGCTTTTGTTATTTTAAATAAGTAGCATATATGTTTGTTATTATTAAAAGTATCTTCCAGAAAGATATTAGTGCTGGAGAGTTTACAAAACCCAGATAGCTCAAAAAAATTCTGCCACGGGTGTGTGTGTGTGGGGGGGGTATTTACTGGCAGAAAATTGCCGCTACCATTATGTCAGATGTATAGCACTAGATCAGACTTTTATTTCTTCAGAGAAAGCGGCTCTCAAGATGAGCCTGAGAATAAACAAGAGCAAAACTAAATATTTGCCCTGTACTAAAACAAGCTTCAATAACACCTATTTCAAAATGGAAGAATATAAATTTGAGGTTGTTGACAATTTCGTTTGCTTGTGTTCTGTAATCAACAACAGGAACAATATTACAATGAAAATACAAAGAAGAATTACTATAGCCAATAAATGTTCTACTGGAATTCGAAAATACATGAAATCTAATGTAATTCATAGAAAAAACAAAAGTTTTATTATATAAATCTCTTTTAAGATCAGTTTTAAGATATACTTATGAAACCTGGACCATATCTTGTACGTATGAGGCTATGTTAAGTACGTTTGAAAGAAAAGTCTCGAGAAGAATTTTTGGAGGAATTCAAAAAAATAGTGTGTGGCTTAGAAGATCAAAATCTAGAGCTTTATCACTCATATAATGAACCTGACATTATTAACTTTATTAAATGACAGAATAAAATGGGCAGGCCACGTTTTCATAATGAAGGAAGGAATACCACAAAAAGAGTTTTCAATGCTAGACTAGTTTGCACACGAAAAAGAGGCAAGCGGAATATGAAATGGATAGATGGCCTAGAAAAAAACCTTTTGGTCATAAAAACTGAAAAAGGTTAGCGTGAAAAAAAATTCTTCAGAAGGCCAAGGCCCACCCTAGGCTGTCGAGGCATTGATGATGTTCATGTCAGACCTACCAACTCACAAGTATTTGACCTGCGTTTCTGGGCCTCACCTCAGGGTTTCAGGCTGCGAAACAATTTTTTAAGGCTATTTTCCTAATAACTGTATGAATCAGAGGATTAATTTACATTTTACCTTTATCCTTCAAAACTTTTTCTCTAATACAGTAGAGAACCAACTATAAGGAATGCTGGAGACCATTCCTGATATCTGAATCTTGTTGAGGCAAGTTTACGCTTTACAGGATAATAATATGCAGAGTGATAAAAGAAATATGATAACAGTCATGAATGTAAGTCAAATTCATCAAATTATATATAATTTAACAGACATTTTTTTCAGAAAAATGGACCAAAAATGGAAATTTTTTTGACTGTTTAATTTTGTTCTCTATATTATTATAAAAGTTAGAAAATGGTTCTTTATTGCAGAAATAAAATTTTAAATGCAATAACTATTGTACTTATAATTTTTATATGCGCACAAAAAAGTAATGAATTACACGCATATCTTATTCAATCAGAGCAAATTAAACAAAATTTTGAAGCTAAATGTAATAAAACACAACAATATGATTTTCAATACATGAATTTTGCAAATCTTTTCCCTCCCTCGGCTGAAGTTGTAATCGTTAAAAAAATAGGACCACTAATGCCATCTATTAGGAAAATAGTGAATTAAGTATCCTAAAGTAGAAACGAACTCAGTTTGGGCATCACAAATATTGCACTAAGTAATTGCCAGAACTAGATTGGGGCAACACTGGCAAAAGGTTAAAAGTAAAATTATCTATTATATTAATTAAACTAAAAGTTTAAAAATAATGTATCAAGTATTTTTTTAAGAATGCGTTCATTGATACTAAACTGGTTATCTTGGTGTGAGGTTGGTTAACCCCTGGGGTACCTTTCGAAATTAGACTTACAGGTTATTATATTTTGGTTCACAGATGGCACTTCAGTTGCAAATTAACATAGTGATAAAAAGTGTTAAAAATCAAGATTTCTCCAGAAATGTATGCAAGATAAAAAAAAAAAAAATTGTATAATCATGCTTGTTATTTTAAAAACCGCTTAAAATCTAAACCGCTTCCCTGATTAACCCGAGTTAACTCGGGATAATCAGGGAAGCGGTTAAAAATAACAAGCGGTTTTTAATAACCGCGGTTAAAAATAACAAGCGGTTATTAAAAACCGCTTGTTATTTTTAACCGCTTCCCTGATTATCCCGAGTTAACTCGGGTATGTATATATATCGCACACATTTATTATCCTGTGTAAACTCGGGCATAACGGAATTCGTCAATACGTTTTGTTTTATCACGTTTTTATTCGGCCGGAAGCAAAAAAAAAAATAATAATAATCTGCTGTGATTGGAAGTTTGCCAATTTTTGTTTGGGAGTTTTGCCATTTGTGGGACTTCAGACGTGTTTTGTACAATTGTATATACGATGGTTCGTGGTGTTGTAGTTTGTGTGTGTTGTCGATCCCGAGAGCTATGCGGGCGGGAGCTTCGGCTCCTGATAGGGTCACCCAGGTCGGAGGGGAGACACCAGACAAAGAGGAACCCCCTGGTCCTCCAGGTTGGGCGTGGGGCTAACAACTCCACCTCGTAAAAACCAACATGTTTTGAAATCCAAAGAAGTAAATCACGGACTGCCTTCATGTAATTTGACCAGGAAACGTTCAAAGGAAATGAGATTTGGATACTGGAATATACGCACTCTCTATCAGAGTAAAAATCTGCAGCTACTGATCGAGCAAATGGATTCATATAGATTGGACTTGTTGGCTATACAAGAAATGCGCTGGACTGGTACTGGTGTCTTGGAAGAGAGAAGACACACGCTTTTTTACAGTTGTCATAAAACAAAACATTTATATGGAACTGGCTTCATCTTAAATAAAAAACTCAGCTATCTGGTTATTGATTTTCAAGCTATCTCCCCTAGACTATGTCTATTGCGCTTAAAAGGAAGTTTTACCAACTATTCCATCATTAATGTATATGCACCAACTGAAGAAGGAGATGATGAGGAGAATATGACGAGTTANATCTGGTTATTGATTTTCAAGCTATCTCCCCTAGACTATGTCTATTACGCTTAAAAGGAAGTTTTTCCAACTATTCCATCATTAATGTATATGCACCAACTAAAGAAGGAGATGAGGAGGAGAAAGATAATTTTTATGACGAGTTAGATCGCCTCTGGAGCTTATGCCCAAGACATGACGTGAAAATCATCATGGGTAATTTCAACTCTAAAGTTGGTCATGAGGAAGAATTTAGACCAGTTTTGGGAAACTATAGTTTACACGATGTCTCAAATGATAATGGAATCAGGCTTATTAGTTTTGCTGCATCTCATGATATGATAATTGGAAGCACTTTCTTTCAGCATAAGAACATTCATAAGGCAACGTGAAGATCCCCTGATGGATCATACAGAAATCAGATTGACCATATACTAATTAGCTCTAGATAACATACAAATCTTTTAGATGTAAAAACTCACAGAGGAGCTAACTTAGACTCTGATCACTATTTAGTGATCTGTAAGCTTAGGGAAAGAATCTCAATGGTGAGAAAGGCAAGAAGGGTCAATTCTGTAAGATTTAATTGTGAAAAGTTGAGCAATCCTGAGGTTCGCAGGGAATTTCAAACTCAACTCTCAACTGAGCTTAATGCGAAAGAGGATTGTGATGAATTAAATAGGGAATGGCAACAAGTAAAAGATTCTATACTCTCAACAGNAGATAACGTACAAATCTTTTAGATGTAAAAACTCACAGAGGAGCTAACTTAGATTCTGATCACTATTTAGTGATCTGTAAGCTTAGGGAAAGAATCTCAATGGTGAGAAAGGCAAGAAGGGTCAATTCTGTAAGATTTAACTGTGAAAAGTTGAGCAATCCTGAGGTTCGCAGGGAATTTCAAACTCAACTCTCAACTGAACTTAATGCGAAAGGGGATTGCGATGAATTAAATAGGGAATGGCAACAAGTAAAAGATTCTATACTCTCAACAGCACATGAGCTGCTGGGCAGGAGAAAAAGATCAATAAGAACTAACTGGTTTGATGAAGAGTGTAGAATGGTCAATGAAAGAAAAAATAAAGCTTATAAAAATATGCTTAACAGAAAATTTACCAGAGGATCAATCGATGAATATAGGAGTGCACGTAGAGAGGAAAAGAAAGTACACAAAGGAAAAAAGAAAGCTTACAGGGAGAACCAATTTAAAGAAGTCGAATCTCTCAGGACCAACCATGAAAGCAGAGCTGGTCATCAATGAGGGAAGAAGAGACTTTTAACCTAGGATCTCTCTTTGTAAAGATGAAAATGGAACTAATGTTAATGAGAGAAATAAAATTATGGATAGATGGGTTGAACACTTTGATCATTTACTTAACTCCAATGAGTCAAGTGAATTAAATTTTATGGTCAACAATATCAATGATACACTGGTTGACACTCCGACCCTGGAAGAGGTACAACACGCTATCAACAAGCTGAAATGTAATAAAGCGGCAGGACCAGATGATATCCCAGCTGAAATTCTAAAATATGGTGGGAACGCTATTGTAAACAACATCTGGAAAATTATTCTATCTAGTTGGGAGAGAGAGATATTACCTACTGAATGGAAGTTGAGTATTTTATGTCCAATACATAAAAAAGGGGATGTATTGGACTGTCTCAACTATAGAGGAATAAGTCTGTTATGCGTTGCCTATAAGGTCTTCTCAAATATCCTATTTGAACGTCTGTCTCCCATTGTAGACAGCATCATAGGTGACTATCAGTGTGGTTTCCACAAAGGAAGGTCCACAGTTGACCAAATCTTCACCCTACTACAAACTTTGGAGAAATGTTGAGAATTTGGAATAGAGACCCATCATTTATTTGTGGATTTTAAGGCGGCATATAACAGTATTAATAGGACTGAGCTATTAAGGACCCTATATGATTTTAATATTCCATCAAAATTTATCAGACTTGTAATGCTCACACTCACTGAAACCATTTCAACAGTACGAATTCAAGGGGAACTATCTACTTCTTTTGAAATTCATAATGGAGTTAGACAGGGAGATGCATTAGCGTGTCTTCTGTTCAACATAGCCTTAAAAAAAGTTATTAGAGATGCTGGCATAAATACTACAGGTACTATATTTAATAAATCAGTGCAGATTTTGGCATACGCCGATGATATAGATATCATCGCAAGATCTAGGACAGCACTGAGTGAAAATTTTTTGGCACTGGAAAAATCAGCTAAAAAAATTAACTTACAAGTGAATGTGGAGAAAACAAAATATATGTATTGTGGTACAATGGAAACCATCCCTAAATTGTTTAAAATAGATTCTTTTAAATTTGAATCTGTAAAAAATTTTACTTATCTAGGATCAGAAATAAACTATCAAAATGACATCAATCCTGAAATCAAAAAAAGAATAATCGCAGCCAATCGCTGCTTCTATGGTTTAAGACATTATTGAAATCTCACTTAATAAAAAGAAAGACTAAGATCTTACTTTATAAGGTGTTAGTCAAGTCAGCTTTGACTTATGCTTCAGAGACATGGACTTTAACAAAAAGGGAAGAAAAGCTATTAGCAACCTTCGAAAGGAAGGTCCAACGAACCATCTTTGGCCCTATACTCTATAACGACAACTGGAGGAAAAGATATAATTTTGAAATATATAGAATCTTTGATGGCGATGATATCATTAAATCTATTAAATTAAGTAGAATGAGATGGGCCGGGCATGTAGTGAGAATGAGCCCAGAACGAACAGCATTGAGAGTCTCTAATGCAACCCCCTCCAATAAAAGGCCAAGAGGATTGCCCAAAAAGAGATGGAAGGACTGTGTGGATAAGGATTTTGCCATCCTAAAGGTACAGAACTGGAAAACAATTGCGGGAGAAGGGCAGAATGGGAAAAGCTTCTGAGGAAGGCCCAGGCTCACAAAGGGCTGTCGTGCCAATGCTGATGATGATATACAATGGTTGCTGAATTTACATAGTAAAAGGAATTTTTAAAAAATGACGTTCGCGAGAGAAAATAAGAGTAATGCAGATGATTTTTCAGATTATGAAGGTGTGAACATATATATACGAAGACTAATGTTTAACTTTTTTTATTTGCCTGAGATAGTTTGGGATAATAAACTGATGGTAAATTAATTATTTTTTACATAAAAAAATAAAAATTTCAACTTAGAACTTGTGTTTTGTTTTAGTACCTTGTATTTATAAATGGGGAAAAAAATTTTGATTTTTTGAATATTTTTTTTTCTCTAAAAAAATGATAACGGAAACGGTTAATGACGCTAAACTTGACTTCTATCCTCAAACCGGGACCTACCTCATCAAAATTGGCCAAACCTTTTGGATTAGGGTGGTGCTCATCTTTTATGACATTTAGGATTTTTATAACATAAAACACAATTTTTTATTTATCTGTTATATTGCCAAATTTTATCACTTTTTGGGCAACAATTGTCCTAGTCTGTAATTATGCTAGTCAGCTGAGACCCAGTCAAAATTTCTCAGAAAAAAATTTAGCTTTTTTTTATTTTAAAGAAAATTGCTGAAAACGTCTTTATATCTATATAAAAAGTACAAAATTTGAAAGACCCTTAAGCACCTAGTAGATATGTATGTTTTATGCATATTATAAAATTTTAATTCATAAATGAGAAATAACCTTAATGATGTGTTTTTAGGATCCACCCAAAAATATTGATGATTTTTTGTTGCCTCACGATTCAGAGACTTTACCTGATATTTATGCTATTGGAGTTCAAGAAAGCATGCAATCAAAGTAAGCTTTCTATACAAAACTCTCTATAACTTTATTCATATTACTAAACTGTACAAAACAGGTATTAAATAGAGAATATTATGTATGTAATAATAGTACTCAGTGAGCTCTTTCTATATTTTTCCAGTGTGATTAGTATGATAACATTCATTAATTTGTACAGACAGGGCAGTTGCTCCGGGCCCACATCAGAGGGGGACCCCCAAGTCAAATTGAAAGTTAATTTTACGTTTCCTTCCCTATTAAACTTTTTTTCAAACAAAATATCTGTACAGTGAAAAATCTGCCAGTTTTATGTTTGCTTCTTCATTAATCTATATTTCGTAAATCCATGACTTTCTAGGGGCGAAATTCAGTTAAATTTTTGGAATCACGATGGACGAATTGGGCCAATCAAAATCCTGTATTTTTACATATAGCAAAATACAATATGTTTTCAAAAATACAGGCTTCTGATTGGCTTAAGTAAGCCATGGTAAGTGTGAAAATTTGACTGAATTCCACCCTAATGTCAGCAAAAACATGAATTTTTTGCAGCTATATGACAAAGTTAACAATAAGAAAACTGCATTCAGCATAATGGCATAGAATTGACAGAAAATTAATAGAATGGACAGAACTATATTTCGTCTGACCATTGGAGGGGGTCAATTTTCTTGTTATACATTTATAATGAGGTGAAAAATTTATATGCCTAAATGAAGTTCAGTTCTTTATTATTGAAGTAGTGAAGCAGAGGGGGGGGGGGCAAAACTTTTTTGCGTCGGGCCCTGGCTATGCATTTGGCTTGGTAAGTTTATATGGTGCACAAGAATATTTTGAAAGTTGACCAAACTGATCACTAAAGTCCGGAATTTCAGGCAATAAAAAATGCAAAAATAGGCAGGCAAAAAGGAATTTAAAAAGCTTGAAATAGGTACTTAAAAAAGGCACTTAAAATTGGAGCAAAATGGTAGTTGGTAATGCCTAAAAGCCCATATAGGTATCTAAGGTATAAAAAGAGTTGCTATAAGTATCCGGTATACCTACATATTCATTTTACTCGACTGTCATAGCAATAGTACAAAAGATGTGGACATACTTGCACAAAAAAAAATTCAACTGCGTAAGTGTGAAATAAAAATTGAAAACTCATACTTACAATAATATTGTATGCAGATTTATTCTGATGATTGGTTGTTGTTGCACATTACAACTAGATGCTTTTTCAAATTTTCAAAAGAGAAATTTTGTCTCCTGTCAGTTAATATAGTTTTAAACAAAGAGAAGGATCTTTCTACTTCGACAGAGGTTATGGGTGTGTACCTAAAACAACTTGCCATGGTAGGAGATATGGTAAGTTCAACTGTAGTATCACCAGAAAGTACTTTTGCAATGTTCTTGATGCATTCAAAGTCTGGGTTTGCAGAGATGACGTTTTCACATTTCTTCCTTATTCTGTCACCAGCTGGTCCAGGCACAGATATTAGTTCTTCAATAGTATTGTCGAAAATCTTTTGTGACTCGAACATATTTCTTTTTTCCATGTGTTCAATAGCTCCAGGGAGCTTCCCAAAATAAGTTGAAATAAAAGTCAGTTCATTTTTTATTTTAGAACTGCTAAGCAGACTTTTACTTTTTCTTGTGGATATTGCTTCTTCATCCGAAAAGCTGGTAAGGACTCGAGTAACTTCCTCAAAATTTGTGCAGTAATATGAGACTGCTGTAATCCATGTTCCCCATCTCGTAAGGATCGGCTTAGGAGGTAATTGAATGTTTGTTGCAATTTCTTTGAACTCTTGAAGGGGCTTTCACAAATACTTTTTTCACACTGGAAACAAGTGAGTCTACCTCAGGATAGAGATCTCTTACTTCCTCTGCTATCCTGTGCAATGCATAAGCAAGGCACGTTAGATGGATCATATTAGGAAATAAAACTTTTAAGGCATTTCCAGCTTTTTTCATGTAGGTGGCTGCATTTGTAAGAAATAATAGCACTCTTTCATGCTCAGTACCATTTGGCCAAAGTAAAGCCAGTGCATTAGTGAACAACTGTGCAATTGTAGTACTGTTAGTCTTTTGCAACTGTTCAGATGTCAACAAAAAGATTTTATGTTTTTCAAATGGGTCCATAACACCAACAATAACATTCGCAACATATCGTCCAGTTACATCTGTCGTTTCATCTATAGATAGCCATATGTTTTTCGTTCCGATTTCATTTTGAATAGTTTTAAGAACTTCGGTGTAACAGTCATCTAAATAAGCTTTCCTTAAAGTAGATTCACGGGGCACACTTTGATTCGTATATTTTTGCAAAAAAACTCGTATGCTTTTATTTTCAAGTTTCCACAGCGGACTGCCGGCATCTTCAAATGATCTGCATAAATCCGTTGCAAATTCCAATTTGCGAGAAGATAATTGAAAACAGGTGGGAATCAGAGTCGATGTTTTCCCATATTTTTTATCTTTTGCTGTTTTATGCTTAGATGTCTCCAAGTGCTGAGATATAAAATACTTCTTCTCAAAATTTACTGACTTCTCGCATGCCTTACAAAACAGAATGCTCCCATCAGTAGAAAACACATCCGACCCAAACTCTTTCACAAAACTGTCCAGTTTTTTGCTTGTGCAGGCTTTTACTTTAGGAATTTTTGAAATAACTAGTACTAGAAAACTATTTCGTGCTCCTGCTACAATGTGCTCAACCAGCTTGGTGAATTCGTTTTGTAGATAAAAGAGCATACAAGTTATTCGATGGTGTAGGCCAGTGGTGCGCAAACTAGGGGTCGCCAGAAGTTTTTTGGGGGTCGCCAAATTTTTATGAAATGCATTATCCCTGCATGCTGCATACCATACAATGTACATATTCTTTCTTCTNAAACTAGTTTCAATAAAAACTAAATACCGCTCGCGTTTAAAACCTGAAGATGATATGCGAATTGCAATTAGCAACATACATCCAAACATCGATGAGATAATTAGAAACTTGCAGCCACATACATCTCATTAAAGGGCAATTACTGATTTTTGAGTTATACAAAAAGTATTTTCTTAAAATTATAAATAAAATTAATATGAGTTAAATATGATGATGTTTTTATTCGATGAAACGAAAGAAATGCGCGAAATATACATCGTATTTGTGAACATTTATCTCTAGGGGTCGCCGAAAATTTTCTCTCTACAAAAGGGGTCGCCGAAACTTTTCTCTCTACAAAAGGGGTCGCAGTCGAAAAAAGTTTGCGCACCACTGGTGTAGGCTATATGGGCCGTAAATAAGAATAAATTCTATTGGTTGTAAGTAAAAATAACTCCTATTGACTGTAAGTAAAAATAACTCCAATCTTTTCACTCCCTCTCCTTGCAAAGCACATCGGGCGAAGGTGACGCCATGTTTTCTCTCTCCCCTCCCTTGGGGGGAAGAGACAGAGAGGAAATATTATTTTCTCTACACGAGCGAACGAGTTCCCATCAAGCTCTTTGTCTCCCAAACTATCCCTCTGGGCAATAAAAGATGGATTACAAGATACCATGCAAGCGCGTGGAAATCTCTTTTCTTGTGGCCATCTTTGAAAAAGGCAAAGCTTCATTTCTGTATTCTATTCTCTATTCAATCAACACTGTCAATCTCATGGACAGAAAAATGTCTTTCACCTGCCTTGCTCACTCAAGCACGAGTACCCTATCAGCTCAGATGAATAGCCATTGTGCTGTACGAGGGGTGACCACTGCCTCAGAGAGATGGGGTTGTCCCAAAAGGAATAAAGTCCTAATCTCTATAAATGCATTACAATACGTCGGATGACAGTCAACCATTTCTGTACTTCAAAATTTCTTCATTTTGCGTTTATGCTCTGTCAAAAGCACAAAGAGCTTTGCAGAAAAATTTTAAATTAGACAGAAATAGGCATTTATGAACAAAAGGAAAGAAAAAGGCATTTTCAGAAGAAAACGTTTAAAAAAGGCCGAAAAGAGCATTTATGGCATTTTGCCTGAACTTCCGGGCTCTACTGATCACCAAAGATCCTTATTAAAAATCTTCTGGAAGGAATTGATGTTGAATACCTGACAATATCTAGACGCCAATCTTTGATCATTTATGGTCATTTTGTGTGTGTCTTATTATTTGTGTACTTCTTTCTATTCTATATTCAGACTTTTTAAATTGTTTGCATTTCCTAAGTAGTCAAGATGTAGATGATTTTCGAGGTTTGAAAAAAAGTGCAATTTTTTAATTTATTTAATATTGAATTTGTTTTTATGGTACATTTTTTAACTTTATTTATGATCTATTATGTTTAATATCTTTTGCAGCCTGTGGAACAACCCTTATTTTTTCTGGTATATACAAATTTATTTATTATTTGTTTGGTAATTAAATTGGAAGCAATCTGTCCTTCTTATTTACATAAACTGATAACTATACTTCATTTAGCTTTTTTGCGAACAATAAAGCTCACTTCCTTGTTTGCAAATAAGCTTAACTTGTTGAATAGCAGATAAATGTTTCATTTATCTTTTGAATATTACTATGGGAGATTATTTCTGATTCCATAGAAAATACTATTGAAAAATAAGTTTATTGTTATAAAAAAAATATAACAGATTGGCATTGTTGCATTTATTTAGTTGTCATCATGAACTTGAAAAGCTTTGAAACAAGCAGTAAATTATGTTATGAAAAACTATTTACAGAAGCTCTTACTAATTATTCTCCCCATGACAGAATTGTGGCGATACGGGGACATTTTTGCAGAATGTTAGAGTTTTTGCAGAAAGATTTTTAATTTGGAATGGGAGAAATTTTAGCTTTCCTTTCTACATAATTTTTAAAAAAATGTTTTTTTTTTCTCTGCAAAATTTCTTTTTAAAGATGTTTTTCTTGTGCATCAACGAGGAAATAAATAATCATGATTTCCTTATTCTCATTTGAGATTTTTTTTTAAATCTATAATAACTGTCTTCAGTAAGAATTTCAAATTAATAAATAAAATAAAAGAATTCAGAATTCGCGAAAGTTTAAAAGATAGTTCAGTCTAGAAATGTTCTTTCTTTCATTTTTTTTCCTTTAAAGAACACCTTATTTTGCATTTGCTTATTTGAGTATCTCTTTTTTAAAGATTCAAGTGATTTGTGATTTTGTTCTGCTCGGATAGTATGAATTTAAATTTATTATCGTTCGATTTATTTACGAATTTTTATTCGTGTAATTATTTACAAAATTCGAAATTGCATTTTTCTGCCTACAAAATGCGAGAATATTGCCTATAATATTAGAATTTGAAAGAATATTATTTTTAAAATTTTTATTCTATACTTTCTTCTATAAACACAGCGTTTCTGTTACTTTAAATTAGTAATTGTTATGATTAAAAGTGTCGGAAAGCAAAATATTAGTTACAGGGAAGTTTGTTGCAGTAAGCCCAAAAAAATTCTGCCACAGGGATTATTCTCATTACAGATATGATATTAAATATTCATAAGACATCTTTTCTTTTTTTTCAAAAATATTTTAAACATAGTAAATTATAAAGAAATAGGCAATGTTTTATTTTTATTTCAAATTGAATAGGAAAAATAATCTAAACAAATTCATTAGAGAACATTACAACCGAAAATTTTCTATTTTGTGTATTTCCTCACTTTTGTTGCTTAATTGTAGATCTGAATGGGAGCTTTTGCTCCAAACTACTCTTGGTCCATCCCATGTTCTATTTGCTTCCACGTCATTGGGAGTGTTGCATTTAGCAATATTCCTTAGAAGGGATCTCATTTGGTTTTGTTCAGGTAAGACTGCACCATGCACCCCACTGTTACCATCACTACTTTTAGCGCAATACAAATTTGAAGGGAAAAAGATCATTTAACATGTCTTAAAACTTAATAATATATAATATTTGACCTTTGTTTAACCCTTTATTAGGTTGTAGGAATTATATTTTCTTCAAATTCATTAATATTTGAATATCAATGGGAAACTGTTTTCTTACCTATGATTTGTGTTACTATCTGCTGTTAACATAGAAAAATATCATTGTATGGGTTTGTTTATATAAATGTTAGTAAGGGTTAGTGTGGGGTCAAAATGAGATTACTGGAGAGCTCATTGCTCTTGTGAGTTAGCGTAATGTCAATTCTTAACAGTAAGTTTTAATTCTTAGCACTAAGTAAAATTTTAAATAGCCCATCCAGAAAAAAATGGTCTTAAAAATTTAATAAATTTAGAACAATAAACTAAATTGATTTCGTTTCATAAATCAATCTTAATCCCAAAAATGTTTAAACCTAATATTACTAGAAATAATTGACCGTCTAACGGATTTAAGAAGCATTTTCCAAGATCTAAACTCACAACTTTATTTATAAAAATAAATAGTGTATTACTTCTTAATATTATTATACATGCTCGCATACTTATGAAAATGAGAAAAGTGGCCAAGCTTGGAAATTCTCTCAACAATATTCAAATCAGGGTCTTGCCATATACCGAATCATCTATTTCTCTTTTTTGACAATTGGTCTACTTCTCTTTCAGCTTTTAAAACTGAAAAGAAATAAAATTATTATAAATTTGGCATACATTGTGATTAAGTTATTTTTTTCTCTCCCTTTGCTTCCTTAAATTATAATACTAGATTTATTTTGCTGATAAGATGTAAAGAAAAATAATTACATCTTTATCCCTTTAATTTATTTTTAAAACATGGACATCACCAGGGTTAAATTTTTGTATGGGGCTAAATTTAAATACACTGTCTCAATAGTTCTCTAAATTTCATACATAAGACAAAAAAAACTTTTTAAATCTGCTGAACCTCTGCAAAAAGATAACTTATTTCTATCTTCTTTTTTTTTTTAATTTAAATTAATGAGTCATGAAAATTTTCTTTATTTGTCTGATATATTAAGACGAACTTATAAAGATTTCTAATTATTAGGGTATATGTACTGAGGGGGTCGATATAGCCTCCCACCTGTTTTAAAGAGGCATTATAGTGAAAAGAAAATTCATTAGTAATGGAAAGTTTAAAACTTACCATTAGTCAACCTGTACCTAAGAATTTTTTTCTTTTTAAGAGTTAGTTTTAAGTTTTACTCTTTTATGTGTAGTATGTGTTGTTATTATTTTTTTTAAGAAATTCGTTAATCCCCAACAAATTGGATATTCATATCCATTAGTTTCTCAGCAACAATATTGTGTTAGATTACAAAATTTAAGCATAACTCAATTTTGAATTTTTTTTTCCTATGGAAAGTGCAGACATTTTTTTTTAACAAATATTGTTTTTGAACTTGTAAAAAAACAATATGAATATACCACTTTTTTTAACAGAACTGTTTTTGAAATAGCATATAAATGGTTCACTCAAAAATATTTCTTACTTTATTTTAGTAATTTGTATATCAATACTCGTATACTAATATGATCAGAAATTTAACACAAACCTTGCAAACATTTAACACCAACACAAAAAAAAATTTACTTTTTTTTTTGACAAAAAAACATTCATTTTTTTATTAATTTAATTTTTTTTTTTAAAGATAACTTAACCTGGTTGCACTTTTCTGTCTTGTTGTAGGTCATTAAAAACTCAACAAAATGTTACAAAAGTTACGCTTTCAAAAGTGTGCTTTTTAGTTCAAAAAGTTCTAAAGTTCAAGATATTAGTCAAAACCAGATTTAACAGCTTTGCTAAAAGTCAATGAAATCTACATTCCTAATGTAATTTTTATTTCTTATTGATTGATTTAATTAGAAATTACCCTTTCATTATTTTTTCAGTACTCATCATTAAATTTTACACATGGCAGGCCACTGAAAGCATCATAGCAGTTCTTGCAAAGACACTGTATTAATATTAATGTATAATAGATGCATGTAAATTATTATGTATTGTTTATAGATTGAATGTACATTTTTTCACTTAAATTTAAAAATAGTTATACAGTATTATATTTTAATTCTATAAACTTGTGTTTTAGAACCTGAAGATGCAAATATTGCTACTAGAGTTGGTTCAATGGTGAAGACCAAGGGAGCTGTTGCGATATGCTTTATGCTATTTGGAACCTCTTTTCTGTTTGTTAATTCACACTTAACTGGTTAGTTTGTTTTTTATATTTTAGCATATTTTAAAGTATTAATGTAGGCATTTGATTTTTTGTAATTTAAATTATTTCGACATAAATAATTTTGAGAAATATGTGTAGGTAGAAGAAAGTTCTTTTATGTGTGGGAGAAAAATTTGTCATTGGATATTTTTGACGAATAACTATTTGTTATTGTTACATACGCTAATCATGGTGTGTAGCGTTTTTATAAAAAGTGCTTAAAGGTGTTTATTTTTGTTTTTTAAAAGCCCTTAAAATTGCTTTTTCTTATTGGATGTTTTTTTTCTTTACCATAACGAATTTTGCCACATATTATTCAAAAGAGTAGGTTTTATATTGTTCTATTTAGCATTTTCACAATCCATTTCGGTCTGTTGTCAGTTCGTAGCGTATGAAAGCGCCAATCATTTTACATATTTGACGAAATACTTGTGGGTTCGCATATGCCTATACTGAACTGAGTTTAGTGAGATTGTTGCACTTTTATGTGTAACTCTGTTGCATTTTGCAAGATATTCTCAATTTCAAGCTTCATTTTCCACCCTTGGAAATCGAACTGAAAAGTCTTTAGATTTTTTTTATAATGGCTAATATAATCAAGAAAACAGTTTTTGGTCAGAAGCTAGTTATTTTATCATGATCATGTAAAGTCTTTGAAAATTATTTCACATTTTGTTAATGTATGTAGTGCTTACAAAGTACTTAAAAGGTGCTTATTTTTTGTTGAAATATTCAGCGACGCACCCTGTTAATAGGATGAAAAAAATAACATTATGGTAAGAAATCTTGATGTGAACTTTAGAATTAATAAAAACATTTCATTGAGTATTTCATGTTACACTGGCTATTTCCACTATTATTTCTAAAGCCGAATTTTGCCATTTTATTCAAATTTATTTTTCTCTTATTTCGAAAGAAAATAATTCAAGTTTATTTAGAAACTCATTTCTTAATTTTACTTCACAGTTATACCAGAAAGCACGGTTTCCATCATGGTAGAATATTTTGAAAAATAGGAAAATAAAACAAGACTTTTTCACTAAGGCATTTTACTGTATTCTATTGTTAAAAAAAATCATGATTTTGGCTAAGTAGGTTTAAACTAGCTAAGGGTGGAGTGTGTGTAGATCGATTAAGGTTATTTCAGGTTAAGAACTGTGGGCAGTTTTATATACAGAATATCTGTGCTCCTGGAAAGTCATGAGAAATCATGGAAATCATGAATTTCGGCATTGAACAAAATTTATCAAGTAATGTCATGATTTTAGCTTTTTTTTTTTTTTTTAAAAATCGTCAAAAGTCATGGATTTAGATAGCCTAAAAAATCTTATTTTTAAAATGGAATTTACCCCCTCCCCCCAATATCATGTTCCGTACATCTGAATTTGTAACAAAATCTTCACTCACAGTCATATTTTATTAAAGTATAAAATGTTTTTATCATGTTCTTTAAAAGTTATGGTGTTCTTTCAAAAAAGGAAAGAAAAAACATCATTTCTTGAGCGAATTATGTGTTAAACTTCTGTGATTTTAGAATTTTTGTTATTATTATTTATTTTTATTTTATCAATTTAAAATTCTAGCTGAAATTCTTTAAAATTCTAGCAAGCCAGTCATTGGCGATTTTTTTTTATTTCCGAAATGAGAATAGAAAATCAGGAGTATTTCTTTCCTTTCCGAGGAACACGAGAAGTATCTTTAGAATATAATTCTGAAGAATTCTGAAGGAAAAGAGCAAACAATTTTCCAGCTATTTTATTGCTTTAACTCTTTCTTTACTCTGTTTTTTTTTAATTTTTAAATGTATAAATATGAAGATGCAGATTATAACAGTTTTGGTTATACCCATCATTTCAATTAATGTTATCATAATGCTTTTTTAAATTTATTGTTGTGTTTTTGTCAGAGAAAATAGTAACTTCGTTAAGTCATGAATTTGAAAATTTAAAATGTAGCAGATACCCTGAATAAATAAATGATGGCTCAAATTATTATACATTTTAAGAATATTCCTCATCATCACGTCTTAAAGCTTTCTTTAAAACATTTTCTCACACTACTCTCAGTGTTGCTAGATCTCTAATTAGTAACCTCTTGCATGGTGTGTAGCGTTTTTAAGACGTGCTTAAAGGTGCTTACTTTTGAATTTCGTTTTTTGAAAGACCTTTGCTGTGTTTTTTTAATCGGGTGTTTTTATAAAGTGCTTAATTTTCCCTTTTCAAAAATGGAATTTATTTTTTTTTACCATGTCGATTTTCGCCATATATTATGCAAAGGCATGCTTTTCGCATTGTTCTATTCAAAGTTTTCACAATTCATTAAAGCGTATTGCATCTCAGCGTACTCTCATTCTGAAACGTATGAAACCGCCAATAATTTTAAATGTTTGTTTTCAATCATATTACAAATACTTGCGAATCCGCGTGTGCGTCTACTGAGCTGGGTTCGATGAGATTATTGCACTCTCTTATGCAACTCTTCTTCAAGATATTCTCAATTTCAGGCTTCATTTTCCACCCTCAGATATCAAACCTAAAAATCTCTTGATCATTTCACAATGGCTAATGTAGTCAAGAAAAGAGTTCTTTGTCAGAAACTAGTTATTTTATCATGATCATGATTACATTTTGTTAATGTATATAGTACTTAAACATATTTTTTAAGTGCTTAAAACGTACTTTAAAGGTGCTTATTTTTTGTTGAAGAATTTGGCTACACACCCTTGTTCTAAAATATTACAAAGCCAAATGAATGAGTTGTTTTTAATATTGCACGTTATTGATATTTATTTTATATTAAAATGTTAAGTCACAAATAATGTTATAGCTCATGAGCAGAATTTAGTTGACAGAATATCTGATTATGAGAAAATATGTGCTGGACTTGATCTTCCTAAGAACATTCCTTCCAAAATCAGCCATCAAAACAAAAGTAAGTCTCTTTTGTCAAAAAAAATTTGGCACTTTAAATTAAGTTTAGCATAGTATCATCTGTTGCAAATCAAATAGAAAAAAAATAGTTAAAGAAAATCTTATCTCACTCTAGCCATAAAATCTGATCCTCAAGGAAAAAGAATGTGTTTCCCCCTGTTTAATTTTTTGAAGTTATCTAAAAAAAATATTTTCTATCAGTTTTTAAATTATTTCTGTAAAAGTCATTTTAATAAAAAAAATTTATAAACATTGATAAATTATCTATATTAATTTTTATTTATATAATTATATTTAATTGTATCACAAATTTTATTAATATAGTTAAATACATTTCATAATATATAATAAAAATAATATAATATTAGAAAATATATATTTCTTCTTCCTTATCCCCAAAATTAGCAAGGCTAAACAATGTCCATGAAATTCATGACCCAGAGGAAGTCGGCCACCAAAAGTGGGTTATTTAGAATGTCCCTTTTGTCCATTCCAAGACAGTCCAGGATATGTTGGGGAGAAGCCTGCATGTTGTGGCACCTGGGGCAGTTGGGGAAGATTTTAACACTACCCTCGAAAAAAAGAGACTTAAGGTGGCCGCTGGTAAGCACCGCCTGGTCCTTGCGGTTGCACTGAATGTTGAGTGCACCTCCTTGACGAGGGCTTTGGTACCAGTGATGTTTGGGAGTACGAGCCAGGAAACATTGTCTTTTTTCTTTTTCAATGCCAGTTCCATGAAGGTGAGTGAATTTGGACTCATCAAAGTTTCTTCTGTCCCCTCCTCAGCCAGAGTGTCGGCGATATTATTGCCCTGAACCCCAACGTGAGAAGGGATCCATTGGAGGTGAACTTCACGAAATCGAGAGAGGATTTAAACTGTATCATTATAGAAAGTTAATAATATTTACTATTATTTTAAAAAAGTCTTTTTTTTCTTTGAAACTTCTTTTAATTTGAAGTCATACTAAATACAAAAATAAATAAAAAATATAGTTTGAATTAAAAACTTTATTAAAATTGTGAAACCAATTGCTAATCAAAGTATTTTAGGTATTTGTACAAATGAAGGAAATTTTAAATGTGAATTTTTTCTCATGAAATATTTATAAAGTATTCTGTACAATATTTAACTAAAAAATAATTTTATATAAGTAAAATTATATTCATACATGCTTGTATTCATTCTCAGAAAATAAGAATAATAAATAAATATTACCAATCTTTTATATAAAAGGGCATATTTGTTGAGATATAATATATATGTATGATGAATATACCTTTTTTGCAGTAATGTTAAGAAATAAATACCAATTTTTAAAACTAATTTTTGTTTTAAATAATTTACTATTTACTAGATAAATATTGCTTGATGTCTATTTTGTGGCTTGTTTTGATTTATCGAGAATGGGTGTGTACTTTTTTTTTTTAATAAAATGATAGTCTTTATGAAGAATTTAATGATTTAATCAGAGTGTGCTTTATTTATTTTATTTTTTTTTTTAATTTTTAGGGAAAAAAATTACTTTAAATTTGAATTTCAGTCTTGCTTTCTCCCTTTGGAATTGTAATGATAAAAAAAATATATTTTTATTTTGGAAATTTACATACTTTCTAACATTTGAGTTCTGTGCATAATATGTTCATCAGTGATAGCAAACTAAAGCTGAAATTTTTAAAACAATTGAACTCTTATTAAACCTTTATCAAGATTTTGCAACATCATCAATTCTCTAACCCTTTAATGTATTTTTTAAGACTATGGTAAACAAAATTCTTTCAATTCTCTTTTATTAAAACATCAAAAAATTTTCTGAAAATGCAGAAATTATGTAGCAGTTGGAGGATAAGAATGTATGCATAGCATGGATGGTTTTTCTTAGATTAGCAAAGATTTCTTTTTGTTATTTATATGTTTTTCGTTCTGATTGCCAAATATTTTAAAAAATTTTGTGAAAAACCAGTTTTCAGACTTTTTTTTTCTTTTTGTTGCTTATATTCTGATGTTTTTATTTGTTAATTTTACTATCTGTTGACAAATTACTATTTTTTCGTGCGTAACAAACTTAATTCTAACTTGAAAAAGTTTTTGATTTATGTGATAAACTAGTTTTATTTTTTGTTATTTCTGGAGAAATTTTAGAGTGAATTTTTCTTTAATTTTTTACATTTTCTCTTAAAATGTTTTTTTTATTACAATTAAAACTTTCATAGCACAAATTTTATTTTAACCCCTGTTGGGCTCTAAATTGATTCAATATGGGTCCTATAAGAACGTGTACCGAAGGACCAATATTGTACCAATATAAAAAAATCTATGTATCCCAATATTGGTCCTTCGGTACACGTTCTTATAGGACCAATATTGGGATACATAGATTTTTTTATATTGGTCCTAGAATGGCCTATATAGGCTGAATAATGATTACAAACTATCAGATGTGAATCTGACAATTCTATATAGTGCTAATATTGGTTATTAAGTAGCTGTAAAATATAGGTTGAAGCGGACAATTCTATTTAAGGTCAATATTGGAAAAATACTGGCCCTTTCAACCCTTTATTGAGCCAAGATTAATGGATATTGCTCCAATGAGGGCCCAAGTTATTTGGCTGCTAGGGTTATTTTATTAATTAGAGAAACTTTTTGAGCATGAACAGGGGTCTGTTTAGAAGAAATTCGGGTCTGTTAAAGGACCCTTTACAAAATATTTTAACTTAAAAGCGAACCCTTTACAAAGTAATTTATCTTTTAAACGGATCCTTCACAAGAGACACTCGAAAGACATTTGCATATTATTGTAAATGGGCATGGAAAATTGACTGATGCTGAGTGTTCAGCTATTAGTAGATATTTTCAAATCTACTGGCAATCGACGTATATTGCTCTAATATTTTTTAAATCATGTTTTTCTGCTTTAATTCTAAGGCTAAGTTTGATCTCATTTCATTTATATTATGCACCTTAACCTCCTCGAAGTCAAAAAAATTTATAAATTCCAAATGTAGTATTCTAAGAAAATATTTATACTTCTACCAACATCATGTGTACATTCTTATTGATATTATATGATATTTTTTGTAAATAAATAATTGAGCATTATATTATTCATAAACTTAATTGATAAAATATTATGTAAATAAAAATTAACTTAGATCAATTTTTTAAAAAACTAACTAGTATAAATTTTAAAATTGTTAAAGTTTACTTAATGTGTAACACATTAGAAGTGATACATAACTAAGTTGTGTTATTTAAAATATGTCAATTGAAATTATTAAAAGTATGGGTGATTTTGTTTCCATTATTCGTTCAAAATTAATATTCTGTGTTGTGCAGTATATGCTAAACACCAAATATTTGTATATTGCATCTCTATTTTAGTAGAAGCAATAGCTGTATATTTTTGAAAATTTAGTTTTTTTTAATTATAATTTTACAGTGTAGAGCATAATCTTGTATCCATTTACAATTTAAAAACTCCTTCGAAAGGTTTTTTGCAATAATAGGACTCTATTTGCACAAATTTCACAAATTATGAGTAATTTTTTCACAATATTACAAAAACTAGACTTTTTACAAAATGTCTGGACAGACCCCTGATGAATTAAGTGCTTCCGCTTAGTAATATTGTGACAGAAAGTAATATAATATTTTATCTTCAACATTATGGTTATGGCCGGACTAATCTTCACCTATTGAGAAATGTTTTTAATTTGTTGCGTCTGTTATGTCATAAGTTGGATTCTGCTTATAAAATTGGATAAAGTTTCTCATTATCTTTACTTAATTTAAATAGAGTCTTTTGGTCATTCTTTATACATCTGTTTGATATAAGAAAGTAAGTGAAATGACTTTTAATATTTTGTTTTAGATGTGACATCACGATTTGATTGTGTCTTTTGGTGCGGTGATCTGAATTTCAGAATAATGTGGAATAGGCTTGCAGTTTTGCGTTTCATGAAAGAGAGAGACCACTCCAATAATGAATCCTGCAGTACGTTATTGAAGCATGATCAACTCCAAAAAGCAATCAAGGAAGGTTTGTATGAATTTTACCATAGTTTCAGTTTAAGTTTTAAAGGTAGTTAAAGGGGACCAGAGGAGAAACTTTTCATGGTGAATTCTGTTTAACCTCCATTGTTTTTTTTTACTTTAAATATAAAAGGGATTTAAGGTAAACCTATAGTTAATCATGCAATTATGAATGCTGAAAAAATGTTTTCAAAATCAATGCAAACAAATCTTTGCTGAGTTAGTTAATTAGTAGGGAGGTTATCTTGCAGTAATTTGTTTGTATTTTCTTCACTTTAGATTTACTTCTGCTCATTTTTTCTGTACTTTAAATTTAAAATTTTTTATGAAGATACAGTAGAGCGTCAATTATCCGAACTGCTCGGGACCGAACGTGGTTTGGGTAATGAAAAGTTCGGATAATTGGAAAGTTGTTTAAAATCTAGTTTAAATGATTATTATTTATGCACTAACTTCCCTTCACACTTTTTCTAGGCTTAGGACTGGTAGTATTATCTAAAATAGCTCTGGCGTGTTTAAAATTTTTTTTTTCAATTTTTAAATATTTTTTCATTTATTTTTTTAAACTTTTTTTTTTATTTTGAATTTTCATCATATTTCAGCTTTTTATAATTTTTTTTTATCAATTGCTGATTTTACCACATTTTTCTTTATGTTCCATTGCAAAAGAAATCCAGCAAAGACTTTTGTTTCAAAGAAGATGCTCTTTTTTGAGCAGCCCTTATTCTTTTTAAATAAATCAACAGAACTGGATCAACACCATTTTGACATTTTAACCAATTCATTGCAATATCTAATGAATTGCATGCTTCTATATGAGAAGGTCCACTATCTTGAATTTAATTACCTACTTCTTCCTCTTCGTTTGTGGAGTTCCAATTTTCATTCAAAATTTCAGCAACAATTTCATCATCATTTAAAATTTGAAATCCTGGGTCGTTTTCAGTGTCTCGACACCAGTGTTCTATTTCTTCTGCTGTATAACCTGGCATCTTTTCATCGGGAAGATCTACTAGTTCTAAAACTTCAGTTTCGTTTATTTTTTTGTTAAGACTTTTATTCCAAGATTTCAGATTCCAAGCACTGTAATCACTAATCATTAACCATAAGTGACAAGTACCCATCCCCCAATAGTAGAACTTCAGCACATATCTATTCATAAACTCCTTCCTAATTTCAACCATTGTTGTCTGTCAAATCGAAGCTCGCATTCTTGGAAGATAATTTTCAGTTGAAGAGGGCTAAAGGGGTATGTAGGTTTAACTGTATACGTGTATGTACTGGCTACTATAAGAAAACTGCTAAAAAAAAAGGTTGTAAATTAAATATGGTCTTCAGATGTAGTGGATATTCTTTATTCTTTTAAATTTAGAAAAATTGTCGATAAGTTAAAAAGTATTCTAAACTTAAAAAAAAAAAAAAACGAATTCGGACGTGGTTCGGATAATTGAACATTCGGATAATAAGGGTTCGGATAATCGGTGCTCTACTGTCCCTGGCCAAACTATAAGATTCTATGTTAAAACTTAATTATCTGGTGGTGCTATACAACTTTATTGTTTTTACACGGTTTACGTTCAAGTATCAATTTGTTAACATTTGTAGTGCAATATGTTAAAAATAAATACAAATAGGAAGTATATGAAAAATTTCCTAAATAAAAACAAATTACGTGTATGTTTAAATATAAAAGTATTGCATATAATCTTGTGCAAAACATATAATTATTAAAACACTACAATATGTCTTAAAATTTGATCTAAGTATTTTAATATACTTATAAAATACCTGATATAATAAATATACTATATTTATATAATATATTGTCTAATTTACTAGTTTATCCAATCGTCGAATTTATATTATATGTAATTTTTTTTTACCAATACGATACACGGGTTTAAACAAATGCAAATCGGTATCAGTCACATAAAAACAATAAAGCTGTTTAGTATCACCTGATAATTTAGATTTTACATGGAATCTTATCGTGTGTCTAATAATGTGGGCAGGGACTTGTGTGTGTATATATATATATATATAGTTGCAAGGAGGTTATAAAAAAGTAGATTTAATCTAATCCTTAAATGAGATGATCAATTCACTAAAGGTGTTAACTTTGTGGGGTCATTTCCTCAAATAATTTTAAATTTATTATATGTTTAAATACTATTTGTCTGAGAAGTAAGTTCCTTAAATGAAAAGTTAAAATCTGAATAAATCAATGTTTCATTAAAAATTAATTTGAAAACTTTTAATTTTTGAGTTTCTATTTTTTTTTTAAATTTCCAGATATTTTATTCTGTTGGCTGTTTAAGTTTGTTTTTCTTTTCTTCAAAAATTTTTAACGATACTTTTAAAATCATTTATATGTTCAGAATAAATTAAGTGAATTTAACTTATAATACTGTTCAAAATTTTGTATAATTAAATTGCATAAATAATGTTTGTGTTGAAAATTTAATACATTTTGGTCTACTCAAAATTTTAAAATATAAGAGTATAATAAACATAATGAAAATTTTCATTTCAAGTTCATTTAATGTCAAATTTAAGTGCAAAGTATTCCAATCAAGTTGAATTTTGTTGCTGATCAGGAAGGGTATTTATGTTTTATGCTTTATTCATTATAAAATAATGACAATTTATGTCGTAAACTTAACAGGATTTCCTTTTTTGTTATCTGCTGTGTCTCATTCCTTTTGTTGCTTAATTTAAAATTTCATTCTGGTATACACACAAACAATACTCGAAATTTTAAAACCCATCTTAAAAACTTTATAAATCTTCCACTTATTTAATAGGTTGACAAATGGAAATTAAAATAGACAAACAAAATGAATGAAACAATTGATTAATTTTTAGTTTCCGTGTGTATTTATCATAAAATGCAGAGTATAACAGTTTTGGTTGTACCTATCATTCAAGTTAATGTTATTATAATGCTTTTTTAATGTTATTGTGTTTTTGTCGGAGAAAATAGTAACTTTGGTAAGTCGTGAGAAATTCTTGGAATTATTAATAGAAAGTCTTAAAAAGCTATAGATTTGAAAATTTAAAATATGGCGGATCCCTGGGTTAAGTTTTAGTTTTCGCGTTTATTTATGATGCTTAATTTTAAAATTTACTGATTTTTTTAAAAAATATTTATCTGTATATTTCAATAAACAGCTGCTTTTTAGATTAAAAGATTCTTCAAGAGACAAGTAAATTTTAATAAACTTTATGCATTGTACATTTAAACTACTTTTTTTTAATATGCATCACAAATTTTTGATCCATATAAAAAATAAGTTTTCATTTATGCCAGAAATAAATAAAATACCTTTCATTTTACCCTTTTTCTCTCTCTTTTTTTTGCATAGTATTGCTCACTAAAACGTTATAAAAATTTATATTCTGCAAAAAATAAATAAATAAATGTTGCTAAAAGAAGTGTAAGAGGTCAGTAATTCGTAGCTCCTTGCAAGCATACACATTTTCTAATTTTAATAATAGTAATTTGACAGTGACTTGGAAACTTGGCAAACTTCTTGTAATCTATTGTACTTGTTACATCAAGCTTTTAGTTCATTTTTACTTTGCAAGGTTTCATGCTAGACGAGGTTGGGTAGAACAAAGAATAAAAGTATTTGTTGTCTTATGAGCTATTCTTCAGTCACATATCACTGTGACAAAAGGTTGTAGAAGTTGAAAATAAAATCACAAGTGAAAAAAAAATGTGTGATGACTCATATTCAACATGTGTCAAGCGATTCCCAACAGAAATAATAATTTATTGTTTTTTAGACATATTTAAATTTAGGAATTATTTTCTTTTTACACTTTGTAGGCTATCAATTTTACGTGGAAACTATGTCATGGTGCATAGTATTTTTTATTATTCACAATGCACAATGTTTTTGCAATATTCTCTTTTGTTCGTCTATTGGGTTTCATAAATTGAATTGATAATGCAAGTGTCAAGATGAGTTAACTCATCATTGGTCAACAAGATTTGGGCATGAAAAAACAAGTTAGCTAGTCCCCTGTCAACAGTTTGTTAAATCTTATCAATAGCAGTATATATCAAGCATGTGATTGTAATCTTTTTTTTTATTTTCAAATTCAATTTGAAAAAGGAAGAAAAAACTAAATTTATTTTGTTGATTGAGTGATTAATTTTTTGTTATACCATTATAGGTGTTATATATTTTCTAGCTTTTTAATTTTCTTTATTTCTCAAATTTAATCACTTTTTCCAATCAAATAAATCATTTATTCAATGCCACAAAAACTGAGTATCAAAATCTATTTTTAATCTCTCATTCTTCAACTGCAGTAAATATTTCAATAAAAATGCATTTTGTTGCTATAATATTTTATGAGACTTTTTGTAGTTCAATTTTAACATTAGGTAATTGCAGGCTTGGCTTGATCAGCTTCATTTTTGGCAGTGTTGGATTTTGATAAAGCGCCAATAATAAATCATTCTCCGCATTCCAAATCATAGGTTAATAATCATTTCTTAATTGGTATTTCATTAGCCAGGTCATCAGTGTTTATAACTTCAATGACCTGTTTCTATTATTAGAAGTACAGTACAGAACCCGTTATCCGGAAATCAGAAAACCGGAAAACCAAAAATCCGGAACGAAATTCGATAAATTTTCCCGCAATTTTTAAAAAAAATTTTTTTTTTTNAATTTTTGTATGAGACGTTTTTCAACAACTAATTTATTTTGGATAGAAAATATGATTTTGTTAATAAAAGTCAGAATATTGTCTATATCCATTAGTAGAAGAAAAAAAATTATGGATCATGTCTGCAAAGTAGATTTCCATCAAAAATCAATCTTCATGCTCATAGTAAACTTTCTTTCTAAAAAAAGGATAACAAACATCTTTAACAAATTTTAAGGTAATTGTTTTCAGATTTATTTAGATCAATAAATTTATTTAACCTTTTTTCCTGTTTTTTAGGAGCAGCTTTTCATGGGTTTCAGGAAGGTTTCATTAATTTTGATCCATCTTTCAAATTTGATGTTGGCACAAATGCTTTTGATTCCACAAAACAGAGAGTACCATCATATACCGTAAGTGCAAAACATCATTATTTTGTTTAATTTTTATAATTATATATATGTTACGAGGACTTTTATTTTATGGCTACTTAAAATTTTAGAAAGCCACATAAATAATGCTCTTAATTTTATTGAATTTAAAAATTTTTTGAAATTTAAAAAGTATAAAAAAAAATGCATTGTGGAGCGCATTAAATTATACATTTTAGTAATATTAGTCCACTATCTATATTTATATATCTTGTTCAAATTTTCTATTGTTAATAAATTACTTTTTATTCATCCTATCTAGTTCAAAAACATTTTTTTAAACTTATAGTGGATAATACTATTTGAACTAAGAAATAGTTTATTGCCCACATATAAATATTTAATTATTTTAGATTTGCTGTGTCGGATAAATTCAATAAAGAACATTACATAGTAGCATGTGTGGTCACCAAATTTATACTTTTATAGTAGTCTGATACCACACGCCTTCAATTCCGACTATTAGTCCGCTATCTATATTTATATATCTTGTTTCAAACTTTCAATTGTTAATAAATTACTTTTTATTCATCCTCTCTAGTTCAAAAACATATTTTTAAACTTGTAATGGATAACACTTGATGTTAATACAGTTTTTTCAAATATTAATTCATTAATCAAATTTAATTAAACGAAACTAAAATGAATATTATTTGTTTTACTTAAGTAGGAATTGACTTTGCATTTTTTTTTATATATATTACTTGTTTATGAATAAATGAAGATGATTTGATACTAAGGTAATATTGAGTGTATATTTTTTTAAATATATATTGCATAAGATAATAAGCACATACAGTATTTATAAAAAGTTATTGTTTCACTTAACAAACTGTTGTATCACATGTTTCTTTAATTTGTTCTTGTTTTAGGATCGAGTATTGTATCGGTTTAAAGAGTCCTCTTGCATTTCTTGCCTTCATTATAATTCTGTGCCAGAATTGGTATCATCTGATCATAAACCTGTCTATGGAATTTTTAATGTTACTCTCAAGCCAGGAAGGGATGAGTGAGTAATATTTACTTCATTCATGAGTAAATATTTAAATGATATGTCAGGGGTCTGTCTAGGGCAAATTTACTACCGTTTAGCGGTACTTTCACAAGTTCAACTTTAGAAAAAATGGTAGTTTCACAAAATACTTTATAAAGAACATGTTCTAAGATTCTCTGCCTCCTAAAATTTTGTTTTTGTATCTCCATAAAAAACTATAAATCTCCGAGTAAAATGAAACAACGAGATTCTCTCTCTATAAACTATTCAGGAAATCAAAATTCAAACATCATTCGAGCATTATCCTTAACATTATTGTAAGTTTATTCTAACAGACCCTTATTTTTTATGAAAATTTTTTTTTCACTATGAAGCTTTTTTCTGTATCACTTAGTCGAAAATAATGAAAGCTCTCATAATGAAAATGACTTTTTTTTTCTAGTTCTTCTAAATACAAGTTGAAATTTAACTATGGACAATGGATAAATTTGGATACAATTTTAAGCTCGAAATTTTACAATAGCAAAATTATTTTTTAATGTATGGGAAAAAATATATAGAAATTTACCAATCGTAAATTGTTTTTATTTGTAGTGACAATTTTTGAAAATCATTTCTTATTTTACCATATTTTTTTTGTTGATTTTTAATGTAACTTTTAATTTTAACAAATTATGTCTAAATTTTTTACAAAATTGGTACCTCTCAAAAACACCTAGACAGACCCTTGTATGCCATAGGTTGAATAATTTAGCTCTTCACAAAAGCTGCTTTGATTTTGGCTATTTAGAAAAAGTCCAATGAACCTTACATTTTCTAGTCTTTTAGCTCACATGTCTTTTGGTGGTTTTACTGGTAAAACCTCGCTACAACAATATTTTGGGGACCAAATAAATTTGTAGCAAGATATATTATTATATCGAAACCTACATACTTGGGGGACACAATAAGATTTTTTTTTAAATTTTAATGTTATACATGTATTAACTATAAATGTATTTATTATTTATATATTATGCAAAAAAATAATTTGCAGAGTGTTAATTATGGTTAAATATTGAAAACATTTGAAATAAATTCAGGAAATAAGATCTTAAACATACCTAAAAACTGTTTTTATTGAAAATAATCAGATATTTTTGTTTGTTTATTCATTTTTTTTTACTGTCAAGTCAATCAACAAAGTATGCATTGAGTCCAATGCATGAAAACTATTTTCATTTGTGAATGGTACTCTGCCCATCCTCTTCAGAAAAAATTCTCTTTCAGGTTTGAATGTGATGCTTGTGATCATTTGTGACTCATGATCAGCTTTTGACATGACGGAAATGAAATCAGATAGGAATGTTACATCTGTGACTTCTTAAGAGATAAGGGTGGCAATTTTAAGAATGAAAGTTCTTACGGTGGTCAGCAGTGAGTCTTCTCTTGTCAGAAAAGATGGAAAAAAACGGCAAAAGATGATAAAATAAGATTTTTTGCATTATTTAAAAACCAATAATAAATGGCGAAAATAAGGTTGAAATTTGGAGGGAGAAAAAAAGAATTTTGTAGGGGTTTTTGTAATATTGAGAGGAGCATGACATTATTTCATATGCAAGTTGGTCGGGAGCATTAAACATTATCACAGTAAAGGGAGTTATTGTTGTATTGGATATTCTAGTAGCGAAACTTCACTGTTACTCCTTCAGCCTAAGTTGTTTTAGGCATTTTTCATTATTAGATAAATTGCCACAAATTATATTCTATTAAAAGTTTCACCATTTTTCTCTCTGAAAACTTGAAACAATGTATAACATATTGAATTTGAATTCTTTTTCTTTTTCAGCGTACCGTTAGCTGCTGGTATATTTAAAAGAGATGTTTATTTAGAAGGTATATTACTGTTGTCTAGAAGGACTAATTTTATTTTCTTATTTTCATGTGATTAATCACGCAATTTCTATTTCTTATTCAGGGTGCGTAGCATTTTTAAAAAGTGCTTAAAGGTGCTATTTTTTATTTATGTTTTTTTAAAAGCCCTTACAAGTGCTTTCAGAGTTTTTAAAAAGTGCTTAATTTTCTATCTTTTAAAAAGATTTTTTGGTAACGATTGTCGTTCTAAATTACAAAAAATGCATGATTTTCATCAGTTTCTCTGCAATATTTATCAGAAACTAGTTGTTTTTTTATCATGATTATGTAAAGTTTTTGAGTTTTATTGATTTTAGGTTTTTAAATTAAGATCTTTAAATGATAGTAAAAAATATTTTTTATTACTGCTCTGATCCTAATGATGATTTTTTTATAGAAAGTGATTAAAAATACTTTTTGAGCACTTAAAAAGTATTGGGTTATTGCATAAGTTCCTACATTTTTTTTAAACATTTTTATAACTTTATTTTTTACATAAAATATCAACAATTTTATCAATAATGTACTCCCTGTTGTTGTTTACGACTTCCTCCCAACGTTCAACGAGTTTTGCGATGCCTCTTTGGTATTTATCACCCGAAAGCGTCTCGAAAAAAATTTCCAACCAAGCCCGTAATTCAACGTCATTATTGAGCGAAATGGCGCGTAATGCATTTGAAAGCGATCTAGGTAGAAATCTGAAGGCGCCAAGTCCGGAGAATATGGAGGATGTGGCAGCGCTTCCCAGCCAAGCGTTTGGATAGCTTTCTTGGTCATATTGGCGATATGAGGTCAGGCATTGTCGTGTTGGAGAAGAATGCCTTTTTGTCAATCGGGACGTTTTTGTTAATACTTAAAAAGTAATACTTAAAAGGTTTTTTTGTTAAAAAATCTGGCTACGCACCCTGTTATTATTATCCATGATGTTTTATTTGTATTTATTTATTTTTAGTTTTATACTATTATTACTAAGTCTTGTTTTTATTTCTCTTTGTTATTATTTTATTAATCATGGTGATATATGATTATTTTTTGAACCATGGAAAAATGTGCAACATGATAAAGAAGGAAATGTTTCATATTTTAGTGTTACTAACTTTAAATAACTTCTTTTCTGAAATTTAAATCAGTCTGTAGCTTATTGAATTTTTAAAAAAAATATTAGTTATGATTATTATTTTTAATAATGATTACTTTTGGTTCTTTTGCAGCTCTCAAAAGAAGAGCTAACTTTCTTGAAGTGAGCAGAGATCATAAACAAAGTGCGGTGTGTAGCATGATGTGAAAGATGATATGGCGTAGCATTTTTCATATATTCCGTCCATTGAAAATCAGAGAAATATTTTAATCACTTATTTTAGTTAAGAGTATAGTTTTATATGCAGTCTTACATGGAAATCTGTGTGTTTAAAGATTATCCTAGCTGGCTCTAGGGCATAAAGTGTATTTAAAGATTATCTATTAAAAAAAAACTATTTTTTAAGGATATCTATGGAATTTTTGGACATAATGAAGGTGAATAGAAGATTTTCTACTTAATATAATATAATACATTTATGTGATGTCTTATGAAAATTGAAGACATTTTATTAACCGCTTCCCTGATTAGAACCGTTAACCGTTTCCCTGAGTTAACTCAGGTATGAACATATTGCAAATATTTATTGTCCCAAGAAAACTCAGGCGTAGCAGAATTTGTCAGTTTGTTTTGTTTTATCACGTTTTTACTCGGCTGGAAGCAAACAAAACATTATCTGCTGTGTTTGGAAGTTTGCCAAGTTTGGTTTGGGAGTTTTTCTATGGGATTGTACACTTTGTGCGATTGCATATACAATGGTTACTGAATTTACATGGGAAAAAGAATAATGGCGTATCATTCCACTATTGTTTGAAAATTATCACTTAGTGTTGTCCCTTGTTTTAAAAATTATCTTACAAAGACTAATATTTAGCTTTTTTATTTGCCGGAGATAACTCAGGATAGTAAACTGATTTTAAATTAAATAATTTTTACGCTTAAAAAAAATTAAACTTAAAACTTGTGTATTATGTTTTGCTTAAATTCCCCGTATTTATTAATAAAATAAAAAAGCATTAATTTTTTGCTTTTTTTTTTTTCAAAACAATTGGTAAGGGTTAGAATTTTATATTTTATTTGTAACTTATTCAGGCACACTTAAATTAGAGGAATTGTTATTTAAATTCATTTTTATTTGTTTTTAAGTTATGTGTTTTGTTCCCTTTCTTTGCCTATGAAAATATTCACTGACGTTTCTGGTCATTATTAGTCATGTTATACATTATTATTACTTTTCTAGTCAAGATAAGCATTTTTGTTTCATGTATTTAATAATTGAAAAAATAAAGGTTAAATGATTAATCCTAGATTGTTTCGATCTTTGGTAAGAATTCATTTTATAGCATGTTATTTTAGGAAATTGTAAAAAGTATATAGGTATTTATAATTTTATGGAAATTGCTTTAAGTATATTCTTATTTATATTTAAGTGTCCGCCATCCTTCACAAATAGTTCTTGTTCATTTTAAATTGCCATTAAAAGAATTAAATCAGATTGTAAAGCACTTTGTTTACTAAATAGAAAAGAGAAAATGGAGATGTTTCGAGAAGACCAGAAAAATTAGAAATGCGACAGTCTTTGTAATGTATTCCACAAGGTAGACGAAAAAATGACTTGGCATTAAGGTCAATTTAAAACTATTAACAGGGATATTAGGCATAAGTTGAAATTAGATAAATTTCTTTGCTGAAAATTGGGTGGGGTGGATAAGCATAACTGAGACCTTGTGCTCCTTTAAGGAATGAAAAGATTAAATGACATTGCAGTTTTGAACTGCTACTGTTTTTATATAAGAATACAGAGTATCTGACTTAAAAAACTCATTTCTTTTACTTATACAGCTTTGTAACAAGATTTTGATTTCTTCACTTAAAATAAACAGCATTTGGTTGATTTTATTGTCTGTAAGATCTGAAAATATGAAAAAAATTAGCATAATTTTAAAATAAAATAGAATAAATATTCTTGTTTTAAAATGTAATATCTTAGTTGCTACATCACTTAACCCTGGCTCTACTACTTAGAATATATATACTACTTGTTTTATAATGATATTGAGTTTTTTTCAATAATCATAAAAAAAAGTACTAAATAGTAAAAATACTAAATACTTTTACAATTTTAGTGATCTATGCCTTTTCTTAGTTCTAAAAGAGGTTCTTTCGGCATTGAATTGTGATAAAATGTAAATACTGTACCAGCAAAATCAGTTATTATTTTTATTCTCAATACTGAAAAGTGCAAAATTAAAATCATATAGTTTTTATTATCTAATATCTCTCATTTCAATTTTTTATGAATGTTTGTATTCTAATGGGGATGTATTTTTAATATACAGTTTTTTTCTTCCCTCCCTAAAAATTGTGACTTTGACTTAACAGTATAAAAGAAATCATACAGTTAAGAACCTTAGCAACAATATGTATTTTTAACTACATGACTTTTTTTAAGTAAAATTTTTATTGTCAAATACTTATACAAAATAACAGATATATGTATGTTGTTTAAGACTATGTGTGATATTATACTTTGCTATATCCAGGTACCATCTGTGAATGCTTATATATATATTGTGAAAAGAAAAACACTAGAAATTTGCTCTTATGATAAATAGACATGTTTATTATCACACTTCATTTATATTATTCTTATATTTTGTACTGTATTGTATTTTCAGAAATTTTTCTGCAAACCATCCTTAAGCCAAATGATTTATTATTTTGTGAGATATTTTCAGAACTTTATATTTGTAGCTATAATTTTTATTGTTTCGATCTATCAGTTCCCATCTCAATAAACCACTATTTCTCACAATCATCTAATCTTTTCATTTCTTTAATACTTTACATTTTATTTCAGTTATATGGTTTTAAAGTGTTATGTTGACTTATAATTAATTTCCATACTGATTGTTCATGGTAAGACCTGGTTGTTTTCTTTAGCAACCATTATTTGTGTGTATTTATATATATATAAAGCGTACGAAAAAAGACTTAGGAACAAATTGTAGCTTACATCCATGTTACAGATATTTTAAACTTGCCAGTAAATCTAAACTAACTTAATCAATATGTTACATTTTACACGATTAAATGCATGTTAGTTTTAAATTGATTTTTGTTACAATGAAAACTATCTTAAAATTTGGAGTATCATAAAAATAATATTTTATAATATTGTACCGTTCACTATCGATTCCGCCAATCTTACATTGTGTTAACATTTGGGTTTCTGTTTAGGTCCGTTTGGGTGTCACCAGGGAGCAGAGTTATTGAATGTATTACACCCAATTTTACGTCATCGGTAAGAATTTACGCGTGTTTTTAAATTAAACACTCTCGTAATGGTTTACTTTTTGTTTAACTATGTTGATATCGACATTATGTAAATCGCATGCAGGTTTAAATAGTCATTTGTACTTTGTTGCTGATTTCTGTTGTTATTATCATTTTATTTCATTCATCGTTATGTTTACTTTTGAGTTACCGATTGATATTCATCATATTATTTATGTGCCGTATTGTATATGTCATTAAATCAATTTTCAAATAATCGTAACTATCTGAAGCGGATGTTAACACCAGCCTCCAGTATTTTTCTTGTAATCAGTCCATTATTATGGCTTTTTTTTTCTTTCACGCTTTTGGATAAAGCGTGTGGCAAGTTGTAGAAATCTTTGACGGTAGGCGGATCACATGTTTCATGAAATAGTAATAGATATAGAAAAAGAGTTCCCAGGTTTTTGACGTTGTAAAGGAAAAATTTTCACAGTTTAACAACCCTGAGGTTATTGAAGTGAGTGAGGGATCTTGCGAGTACCTATGAAAAGATATTGGGTTTGAGTATTGCACAAAAGAGAGTGGGTTAAATAAATATTCAAATAATAGAGGGTTCGATTTATGTTCAAATGTTAGTAAGTTTAATTGCTGATCAAATGATAGTGCGTTTGTGAACTGATTAAAAGAGTAGGTTCCAGCAATGATAAAATGATTGTAGATATGAGTAGTGTTGAAACGATAGTGGGTTCCAGTACAGGAAAAATAACGGGATCGATCATTGATAAAATGATAGTGGGTTTAAATGATCAAGAGTTCGAGTACCAATTAAAGATGATTGATTTGAGTACTGATCAAAAGAGAGTAAGGTCGAGAACTGATGGAATGGTAGTGCGTTCAACTGCCCATAAAAAGATAACCGTTTCAAGTACTGATCAGGGAAGGATTGGCTCATTGGGACACTCCAGTGTATCCTAGTCTATCCAAGCTGAACTACAAAAACTTATCCCACAGTAAGTGAACCAGCCAGATTACTCTCGTATATAGGGTCTTCTCCTCTATAACTTGTTGGAAGAGCTCCCTGTTTGACACAAAACCATATAACTCGTGTCATTCGTATATACTTGATTCAACCATAAAATAATCCATAGAACAATATAAAGGTTATATAAAAAGTTTGAAATATGTCAAATATCTCGAGAAATCTATGTCGGATCTAAAAAGTAAAACTAGGCGCATTCAGTACTTTTTTTTTATATATATATATGATACCAAACTCGATCTTCCACCTGCTGCATTTAGTAGCACATTTTTATTGCAAAATCGCGAACTAGAGATCCGTCTTATTGTTGTAGTTGTAGTTCATTTACATCGCACAAGAGCTGCACAATGGGCTACTGGTCTATGAAACATCCCTGAGGATGATCCGAAGACATGCCATCACAATTTTGATACTATGCCGAGGAGACCCACTTCGGTAGCCCGACTACCTGCAAGCGAAGTCGAGCACTTTACGGTAGAACAGTTTAACGAGGGCCAATACCTTACACTCTCAGTCTCTACGCAGACTAGTCCAAGTGGTTTCCAGTGTGAACTTTGATTGGTCTCGAGGTCGAGATACAGCTATTTTATATTGATTGTGCTCCTTTTTAATTTTTCTCGCTTCCAACGCCATCTGTGAAGCGAAATGCCTAATCCTATAATTCATAAGAGGTTAATTTTTTCTGGAGAATCTGAGAAAAATAATGTTTCATATATTTAATTTCTAAGCTGCCCCTTTCTCTAGAGGTGGGGAGAAGAAGTTCGAGTTTGATATCACTTGATTTAAAAGAAAATTTGTCGTGTTATTTATTGTAAATGATATATTTTATATATCATTTTTTTATTAATTATTTTAAAGAAAATAATGAATGCTTCTATTTTCACTTTTTCAATCCGATATATATTCCTCGATATATTTGACCTTTTCCCAACTCTTTCATACCTTGTATATGCCACCCAGGGCTAAAGAAAATAGAAGGGCTGCTTCACTCCTTTGAAGAAACTCTCGCCGTGCCAATCCTCCGATTTTCTCTAGTGACGTCACTTTGGCGCAAAGCTCGCACTTTTACTTCTGCCTCCAGAAGAATCGCCGCAT